TATTACCTTTGTAGTTTTAAGAAAAATGTATGCAAACATTAGGATACTTAATTGAACACTGGGTTTTCTTCACACATGATATTCAAGATGTACAATTTTTACAGTTAATATTTGATAACATTAAGTTAGAGTTATAGCATTTTAAATAGTGGCTGGTAGATGAAAAATTCTAAGCCTGGAAAAAGCAAAGGCCCCGTGAGGATGTGTCAGGTAACACACAAGCCCTTAGGATATCAGGCTCCACAACCATGCCCGCCACTGGTAGCAGCAAACCCCAAATGCATGGCCACTTAGTTCAACTGTCTTGTGACTAACGCTTCTAAAAGGCTGAATCTAAAAGTAAAATCTATAAAATACCAAAAATCATTTGTGCATAATTATGTGTTTTACATTGTATAATAATTATGTGTTGATTCACATTACTCATTTTAAATACTTTGCCTTCTGGACAGGCTTTCATAACTGTGCACTTTTATTTTATGCAAATCAACACTTAGAATGGCCTTAAGATGTATGCATACAGGTGAATGACTAAATGGCACAAATAAAGGAGAAATATTATGGAAACTGTTGGCAGTTTAGAACCCTGCATTTGCAACACTTCAAAATGATTTCTTGTGTCTTATCTCATTCGCAGCCCAGTTACAAACCCACGAAGTAAATTAATAAACTCTGTGAGTCAGAGTATGCATTTAGGAATAACTCAGGCACTTTTACATAACAAATTTATCTATGTAGCTACATGAAGTTTACGTAAACAGTTATACATCACAGATTGGCTATGCAAAGTGTCTTTGGAATCTGTCCACTTTTCGACCTCTTCATCCCTTGCCTACATACACTTCACCTCCTCTCCAAAAAATTCTGCACACATACTGCCCTCAACATCCTCTATCTAAATAAACACAGATCTGGTTACATCCCTCCTCTCCTTAAAAATCCACCAGACCTTCCCACTCTACACCTAGCACTTCACCAAGGAACCTATTAAATAGCTAGAACAGACCACAGCAGGTAAAACAATCCCTTTGAAAACACATGCTTTGTCTTTAAAATGTGTGCATCTTTTTTTTCTTTCTAATCTATAATTTATACTTGTTGGATTTAATACAAATATCACAGTTTGGATTGTTTCCATTTCTAGGAAAATATGCTATGGCAAGCTGATCTTGCAGCTTCACAAATCCCCTGGCACACTGCCTCCTCATGCCCTCTGAGATACCCAGACGAGGGCAAAAGCTCAACTCTGCAAAAGCATACACGACACATTACACTCTATTCCCCTCCTGTCTCTGAACTCAACTCATAATCCTACCAAAAAAATAATCCTATTCTTCACCCTGCAAGGTGTGTTTCTAGAACATAATTCTTACAAAAGAGTCTGTAAAGAAAAATTAGTTTGGTCAATGATATATCCCTCTTTTAGAAATTCTCAATAAACATAAGGACATTCAATATTCTAAGAAGTCTTGCAGTAAAACTTGTAGTGAAGGTTAACCAGGAGACAGTGCTTCATAGAACCCATCTTGCTGAAGGTATGCTGCCCTCCACCAAAATCTCTGTCTTTCCTCACCCTGCCCCCATCACCTGGAAAGTCTCTCCTACTTTCTCCAACTGTCAAATTCCTACTCATTTTTAGAAATCTAACTACCTCCGCTTTGAAACCATTCCCAGCCATGCTAGCTGGAAATAAATGTTTTCTCCTATGTGTATTTGTAGCACTTTGTATAGGCATGTATGTTAAATTACACACGTCGTAGTCTTGGATCTCCATGTCAGTCTCCCCAGCCAGACTGTGAGGAGTTTTAAAAGTAGAAACCATCCCTTATTCATTTATGAATCCTCTGAATCAAGCAATGTTCACAAAAACAAGTTCAGTAAATACATGTGGAATAAATTGGTGAAAGAGAAATGATCTTTCATGAAAATAAGATATGCAACATCATATGCCAACTCTCCATCATTCCATCCAGGAAACCTCTGCTGGCAAAAAGGGGAACAATAACAAGACTTAGGGGGAGGGATAATGGTCTCTAGAACAGCTCAGTCAGAGTGCATAAATGACCCCTGTTACCAGATTTATAAAGAGAATTTTGCACCAGTCAAGACTGTCACATGAATCCCTTATGAGAGCCACTGTGTCTCTGTCCACGGTGCTAAGATTCCAGCTGGAGAGCCCTGCTTCAAAACCAGGCAGAGTCAATTCCAACTGGAATACAAATGTTTGCATATTTCATTACTTCTGATACAGAGACTTCCTTTTCACCTAGGATCTCAGGACAGTCACACTCAATCAGTTACAGTTCAGCCAGTTTAAATAAATCAAGCTAACTATTCTGCAAAAGTAGTTATCAATTCTAAAGGAGGCAAGAGATGCAAAGAACTTGAAAGTCAGATGTGGGTTTTCCTTGCAGCCCTGCCTCTAACCAATGAGCAACTTTGGGCAAGTGACCACAGCTTTCTAGGCATCAACTTCCCAATCTCTGAGTTGAGTAGCTACATAATTAAGATTGAGCAAACCTTCAGTGAATCACTAGCATATGTCAAGCACTTTTTCTTATTTAATCCTCTTGAAACCTGGTGAAGTGGGTATTACCATTCTCATTATACACATGAAGAAACAGGGATTAAAGAGGTAAAGAAATCTGTTCAAGGCCACACCATGAGCTAGCAGCATTGCCTGCCTAGGAAGTTCAATGGGGTCATGGCTGGACAGCCAAGGTGAGATCAAGGCTTTTTCCCCTCCCACCTTCCCATTACCTCACGCTGCTAATGGCTGTCTTCACGTGTTTCTCTAATACTGTAATGATGATGATATCCAGTATTCATGATTTTTTTTTAAACTTCCTAACTTGACACAAGTTTGTGTTTTATTATTTGTCACATTGTGTAACTCAAGTTTATGCCTAAACTTCTCATAAGACCCCCAAATCCCTTATATAACCTGATTCCTTAAGGGTCTCTTAAAGAGTCAAAAGCACTCAGAAAGGCTTGCAGCTGCTCAGTGAGTGGTATCCTTTCCAAAAGAGATGGCCAGCCTTAGGAGGACAGCTTCACTTGCTCACTGTTCCTACTCCTTGGCTAAGTAGCCACTGTAACTTCACATACCATCCAGCCAGCACAAGGACCACTCAAGAGAGGCAACTGTGTAGCATACCCATGGTAAGGCTGTCTTGCTGGCTGGAGCCAATCCTAGGCAAATGGGACAGTGGGAGGTGGGTTTCACCTTCCCAGCCTATCATGCACCAACTGTGGAGTGTGTTGACTGGTCCTTTATCATGTGTGTAGCAGATGGGGTGGGGAGTGCTGTTTGGTTTGGTATGTTTTACTGAAAATGACCACAGTCATGTGCTAACTTTGTGGTCTCTCAAAGTGCATTCACATATTTAGCTCATCAGTGACCAATGAAATGCTATCATGCACAGTACAGACTCCGATCACTTATAAAACTTACCTAATAGCAATCATCCACAAACTGTCAAAGCCAGAACCCATCAAGGCTCCCAAGTACAAATCCTGAACCTCTTGAAGTAAAAGAGAAGTTGCTCTGTAAAGTACTTGCCTCTCCAAACACCCAGAGACTTTTGCCCCTCCCAAGGCCTCTGTACTTGGATTTCTCTGACCTGGCTTCATTCAATGCTAGAGCTTCTTTTTCAGTCTCTCTTCCCCTAACTCCAATTCTTCATCCTTTCCTCTCTCCTACAATCCGAGCTCTGTAAACAGCAATTTTTGCAAACTGTATGATGGCACTTGTCTTTCTTTACAGCCCTCCTTTCATGATAAGTTGACCATGTCATCACATATGCATTGAATATTTTAAAGCATAGTTCTGTCTGTAGGAGAAAGTACACATTTAACACAGGTGTAGTATGGGAGAGGAAGGCATTCATTGTGGCAATTCTAACTAGGTTAAGTGATGCAACACGCATCAGTGTGGTAGTGTGGGTACTCTTTGTAAAATTATGAAATATCACATGTCTTCTTACACCACTTATCTGAACCTCTCTGGTGGCTCTTAGCACTTTCTGTGTGGAACTTAGGCCATTTGCACACCTCTTTCCTCCCTGAACACCACCATCCCTGTGTCCCACTCTTATCCTCATGTGCCCCAGAACAGAATCTGATGCCTTGTACAGACACCGCACAGAAACCCATTTTTAACAATGAAACGCTTTTGTAAAATATTTGTATTGTATGAAGGATATAACAATGAAAACTGAACCTTCAGAGCAGCCTAGAAGAGCAAAAAAGAACTTGTCGTACATATGATACAGATTTGTCCACTGAAATGAGCACTAGCAAGTCCACAAAGAAAAAACCCCATGGGGCTGAGAGCAGGTGCCTGAAGGAACAGACAAGTGCATCTCGGGTGTGGACCCAAAGCTGGACTACCAGCACTACTCTCACCAGTAAGGGGCCAGGGAAAGTCCATTACTGGTATTGTGGTGAGGGGCGTGTAAATGCTCAGAGCTGGCCAACTGCCTGGACACATTAACCAACTACAATGCCCAAGGCCAAGCCCCTACCCAAAGAAATTACATACCTCAGGCACCAGCAAAGTCTAGAGATGGCTAAATTGGCACAGACTGCATGCTAACGCTTAGCACATAAGGAGCACTAAAATGTGATCATTTGGACCTTATTCTTGCTGATTCTGGCTCAGGATGGGGATACTTTCATCCTGAGTTTCTAAGCTGAGGGAAAGGTGGGACTGAAGTACCCATGCACAAGTAGCTGGGGCAGTGAAACATGCTTCACGGGGTTCCTCCTCGATTGGTGGGGAAACTGAGGCACGCAGCAGATGGGGAAACTGAGGTAGGAAGCAGAGGGCAGGCCCAGGTCGGGGACAGAGCGCGGGCCCGCCTCACCCTGAGCCAACTAGCGCGTCCAAGCCGAGCCAACTAGCGCGTCCAAGCCAAGCCACCCCGCCTGATGCTTCCGCTACCCCTCAGAGCCCAAGGCGGGGAGAGGGCAGCCCTGTGGCCGGGGCCAGGACTCACCACGTCCATGATCTGCAGGAGGCTCAGGGAGAAGTAGACGGTGAGCGGCTGCGAGTCGTTGGCCACGGGCCTCTCCAAGGGGTTGTAGTTCTTGACCAGCTCCTTGTAGAGCTTCCTCTGGAACTCGCCTTGCAGGGACACTTAAGGAGAGCCCAGCGGGCTGCTCAGGGAAGGCCACCGGGGGTGCACCCCACACCCCCTGCCCGCGGACCCCCACCGCCCAAAGCAAGCAACCCAAACGAAAGGGACTCTCATTCCCAGGACAGCCCCCAGCAGCGCCGCCCACTGTCCCTCGCTGGCGCGAGCCCCCAAACCTGGCCCGGGCGCGGGGCGCACGGAGCAGCCAGGATGCGCCCTGGATCCCGCGGAGGAGGAGTAGAGGACTGGGAGATCCGGCGGCTTTACCGTGCAAGAGCGACGCGGCCAGCGCCAGCCACACCGACCGGCGCATGTTGGGACTCTGAGCTGCCGCGGCCGGCGCGCCCAGCGTCTCGCTAGTCGGCCCGGGCCTGCGCCTGCGGCCGCGGAGCCGCCTCTCCCGGTTCGGCTCGCGCGCCTTTAAAGAGCCGAGCGCGCGCCCCCGCCCCGCCCGCCTCCGCGCTCTTCTCCACGTGACGAGCCCCGCCCCCGCCCCCGCCCCCACCCCAGCCAGCCACCGGGGCCCTTGGCGGCTCGGCGGCCGCCCAGGGAACTGCAGCCCTCTGGTATAAGTGGGAAGTGCGCTCCGGAGTACTGGTTACAGCCAGGGCACCCCGCCCCGCCTCCGTCTCCACCGTTGTCCCGGTCCCTCCGCATCACACCTCCGGCCGAGCCAGGGGCTGTCCGAGGCCAGGTTCTGTCTCTCCCTTTTGTCCTTGGTCCCCACTCCGCTCCCTCCTGCTCTCAGACAGAAGCTGCACGGGTCCTTGAGAGAGAGCGGGACAATTCTGGGGTCCAGTCTTCCAGGGTCCTCCCCTCCCTTACGACAGTGGCTGGGTGACAGCGACTAGGAACCAGGCTCCCACAGGTTGGGACGTCTCTCCAACCAGACAAAACAGACATGAGAGGAAGCCCCCCTCCTACCTCCCGCCAGGGTGTTCTGTCAGCAACCATTTGCTGGGCATCATCAGTCCGATTCTCATCTAGGTTCTCATCTAGGTGCTGGGAGAAGAGGGGAAATCTCTGCCTGGAAGACATTCTATAGGGGAGGAGAAACGCCGCAGAAGTGTGTGATGGCAATCCCAGTGGACACCCTTTTTATGTCTCGTTCTCTTTTAAAGGAGATTTAAAATTGAAAAGTTACTTCCCACCCCTTTCTGGAAGGACAACCAAAACTTGGTGGTGTGATTTAGGCTTTTCTCCTTTTCCTTCTCCTTCTCCTTTTTAACTCGGGAGAGAGTTAATTGACATGGGGAGGCTCGGAGTAAACATCAGTCAAATGGTCAGAGGCTAAGTCGAGTCCTAGACGTTAAGGAGGGGCTTGGATTTGGAAGAGGAAGGGGGTGAGGATAGAGAGGCGGAAAGCTCTGTCCCGCTAGCTCTCTGCAAGAAGGTTGCAGAAAGCTGAGTGCAGCAGGTTCCCTGCGCCCACGTAGGGGGCGCTGCCCCAAAGTGATCTACACCAAGAGCTCAGGCAGGTTGGACCGGCAGAGGCAAAGCCCACATTTGGGCACTGCATAAGACACGGGATTTTTGGATGACATTAAAAACAAACAAACAAACAAACAAAACACTAGAAAAGCTCACCAAAACGTGACTGCCTTTGAATTTACCGGAGCGGCAGGAATGGGTGACTGAGCCAGTTATTTGATTTGGAAAAAAACAAAGAAATGTGACAGTCTTGCAAGGAAGTGTCTGATAGCAAATTCACACCTGTTAACTGATGCATGTATAAGCAAATAATGAGTGTAAGCTTTGAACTAAGAGAAGGTCCTAGAGGAAAGAAAGATTGATTCTTTCTGGGGAAGAGTTCATAGACATGACAGCCAACCTGGGCTTGCCACAAAGGAAGGGTCCAGCCAGGAGAAGGGAACACCAGAATAGAATTTCCTGGTGAGCAGACAGGTATGCTCTTAGCTTTAATCGAGCTCCTGAGTTCTGCAGTCTGGCAGTCTGGATACCCACAGAGCTGGCACTGGTGAAGAAATGAACTAAAGGGTTTCAGCTGCTGGCAAAGAGTCAGAGAAAGAAAATAAAATATCAGAATAGAGGGGGCATAGGACACAACAGAGAGATTCTCACCGGCATGCCATCCCCACTGGTCATCTGAATGCAACACTAGCTCTCAAACACATTTCCTGAAAGTGTCTAAAAGCCCAGCCTTCCATTCTAGAGGGACATGAGCCTAGAGGGGCCAAGGGAATTCATATACCTTGAGTTTGGCCATTGGGATCACCTTCCTAAAAGCATAAAAACTTCTTTTGTCCCTTGTACCCATAATATCAGAAACCTAGAATTAAACTGTTTTCTAGTGGGACAACCAGTCAATGAGTTTTTATGTATGTCCTATGTTCTGCTAGATGCCTGTAGGACCTACCAGCACAATCCACTCACTCAGTTTACAATTTAGAGCTAACATGAGTGTGGATAAATAAATTTCAGTCTGTGCTGTGCCAGTAAATAGGTCTGTGAGTGTGGCTGTGTTCATCCCCATATAAGACTCAGTTTTTTCATTTGTAAAATAAAGAAAGGAGTGGGACTTTCTGGGAGTTGAGCTGACAGAGCTGCAGCTACCCCTTTCACTCCCATTCCCAACATGAATGGTAAGTAAAATGTAAGAGAAAATTAATACATACTTGAGCTTAGAAAGGCAGGGACCAGAAACAAACCCAGAATAGTTACTCACAAGCTGGTGCTATTATCATAGTCCAGGAGAAAGGCATATCTAGACGTGGGCTCCAAGGATAAGAGTCTTAAATTTTAACAAACCTCAATGAAGCAAACTGGTCTTGAGTCTATGAGAGGTGGGGGACTGGAACAAAAATATCCAGATAAATCTAGAGCCTGCAAAAATCTCCCCTTTCATGTAAAAATAGACCAGCAAACCCTAAACATGACCAAGGGTAATGGGAGGAAACATGTTTTCTGCTTTGAGTCTGGATAGGCAGAAAAGGTAACTATACATTTATAAACCCAAAATTGCAGGGGCGCCTGGGTGGCTCAGTCAGTTGAACATCTGACACTTTATTTCAGCTCAGGTCATGATCTCGTGATTCATGAGTTCGAGACCCACATTGGGTTCATCTGTGCTGTCAGCGCAGAGCCTGCTTGGGATTCTCTGTCTTCCTCTCTCTCTGCCCCTCCCCTGCTCTCTCTCTCTCTCTCTCTCTTTTTGTCTCTCTCAAAATAAGTAAATACAAACTTTGAAAAAAATGCATAGTGCTTAGGTGTGTGCCCAAATGTATACAACTTACATGGTTTAGAATTAAAGAATCCCTCTGGGAACAGCTTCTATAAATTTACACACATGAAGCTCAAAAAAACTATGACTTTCATGAAAATGAATTCCAACTAAAAAATATAAAACCCACTCCGAAATAAACTACATCCCCTATGAGGCAATAGCCAATAGTAAGTGAAAGTACACAGACCACAGGCAAAAAAAAGTTAGTACCCCATAATTTGAAATAAGAGGATGATTTGGGGAAAAAAAACTATAAAATAAGTATGTTTAAAATGTCAAAGTTATTGAGTAATATCAGCTGCAATAATAATCCACAAATCCTGTTGGCATAACACTATAAAGTTTATTTCTCTCTCATAGTATAATCAAAAAGTTCCAGTGACTTCCCTAGGTGGCTAAGCTCCTCAAGTCTTTTAAAGATACAAGATCCTTTCAACAACTGGATTGACTGTGTTCTGGGGACCAGAGGAATGTGCTAATTGAAGTCTGCTGGAGCCTCAACCTTTACACAGCCTGCAAACAAGTAGAGGCGTACCTGGACCAGGACTGAAGTTGCTTGTATCATCTCTGCTCACATTTTCTGGCCAGAGCCAAGTCTCTTGATCACAACTTCAAGCAAGAGAAGCTGGAAAGCAATCTTTTTATCTGTGCCTGGGCAGAGAGGACAAAGGTAAGCAGTATCAGTAATATGGTATACAGGGGATAAAGTAGGAATTAATAGCATAAGGAGAGAACAAACCACAGAGGAAAAGAAACAAACAGAAAATAAAACACGAGCATCTAGGAAAAAACTCATAACAATTAAAATTGAAAATCTAGCAAATGTGTTAAAGAGGAGACTGACTAATGATGAAGAAAGCATTGGTACTCTGGGAGCAAGAGCTGAAAAATGTACCCAGAAAATCACCTGGATAAGAAAGGTTAAGGGATAAGAAGGATAGAATAAGAACTCATCTACTAGGACTCCTAAAAAATATTAATAAAAAGAATAGGTGAGAAATTATTTAAAGAAAAAATGACTAAGAGATGCCTCGGTGGCTCAGCCGGGTAAGTGTCCAACTTTGTCTTAGGTCGTGATCTCTCAGTTCACAGGTTTGAGCCCCGCATTGGGCTCTGTGCTGACAGCTGGGATCCTGGAGTCTGCTTTGGATTCTCTGTCCCCGTCTCTCTCTGCCCCTCCTCCCTCATGCTGTCTCTCTCTCGTTCTCTCTCTCTCTCTCTCTCTCTTTCAAAAATGAATAAACATTAAAAACAAATTTAAAGATAAAATGACTGAGAAGTTTCAGTTCTGAAAAAAATATAAATATCAAATTGAGGAAGTACAATAAGCAATGATCTGGCACCAGGCTGGCTTTGTTGGTAGAACACGTGACTCTTGATCTTGGGGTCATGAGTTCAGACATCATGTTGGGAGTAGAGATTATTTAAAAATAAAATCTAAAAAAAAAAAGTGGCGATCATGTTAAGTAAACAAAAGATTCATCATTAGATAGTGAAGCTGGTGAAACTATTAAACAGCAAAAAAATAAAACACAGATTTTAAAGGAGACAAAGAGCATTAACTTAAATGCAAATCTAAATAATCAATGACTGTTAAGTAGTAAGAACACTTTGGAAGCGAAAGGGTATAATTGAAGAGGACATTTCTGGCCCTTGTAAGAGAGCAAATTCAGGTAACAGGCAAAATCTGCTGAAAAAAAAAAATCCAACCAGCCAAAATGACAAAGTATATTGGAGATTGACAAACATTAAGAAATTAAGAAATTTGGTCTGGTGGGCATTTATAAAAGCATGCACACCCAACAATTAGTGAAAACACGTTCTTCTTAAATAAATGAAATATATATACATATATATATGTGTATATATACACATATGTATATATACGTGTATATATATATGTACATATATATATATATATGGTTCCTACTCTTAAACTTTTTTTTTTTTTTTTTTTTCCAACGTTTATTTATTTGTGGGACAGAGAGAGACAGAGCATGAACGGGGGAGGGGCAGAGAGAGAGGGAGACACAGAATCAGAAACAGGCTCCAGGCTCTGAGCCATCAGC